CATTAGCGTGTCGCTGCCGTCTCGTCACGGCCGTCAGCCTGGCGTTCACCCCAAACGGGCCGGGGAGGCACGGCTCGATTATTCTTAGCCTGCTGTCCACAGAGAAGAGCCTGACCTGCAGAAAGAGAGGTGGGATGTGAAGGCTGTGCGTGCGGATGGGGGCCTTTCCCTTAAATCCCTGCCAGCAGGAATCGAAGACAGGGAAGCACCTTCAATGGTGTCCTTTAGGAGCAGGGAAGATGCCCCCCAGGGACATGCAGGAGCCTCTGGGGGCTTCAGTCTGTTTATAAGCCTGAGTTTCTGTTGGCTGTAACTTCTGTGACCCCTGACCTGTGTGTGACCCCTGACCTGTGTGTCTGCCGCTGGGCGTGACCCCTGTGACCCCTGGCTTCCGTTCTTCAGGGAGAAGGCTTCATCTGTCAATGACGACGACTCTCACTCCTCATCGGCGGGCGTGGCCTTGGGCCTCGGGACGCACCCCCCCTCCAGCGGGCCAGGTCTGACATCCCCACCGTACACGGCCGCCCCGGTCGACCACGATTACGCCAAACGTAAAGCCCTTCAGCAGCGGCAGCAGGGGCAGCAGCGGCAGCAGGACCAGCCGCAGGCCGATGGTACAGTCCCGGTCCCGGGCTCCAGCTGGGGAGGGGCCCTCGCTTCACTGGGACTGGAAATCACACCGGGGAGTGGGGTGGTGCTGGTGCCAGCACTGGTGGTGGTGGTGGGGTGATGGTGATGATGATGATGATGATGATGAGGGTGCTGATGACCGTCACAAGTCCAGTTCTGACCCCCTCCTGCAGAGGGCGGCGGGGAGCTGGGCGGGGGGAGAACATGGCTGCCAGTAACACATCCGCTGTTCTTTTCGTGGTGAGACATGTGGCTCCCCGTCCTCGTACCCGGGGCCCACTGTCATGTGAATGCAGCAAAATGGTCTCCTGATGGACACCTGGAACATCTGGCCGGGTGACATTTTTTCCCAAGATTTATTCCATCCTTTCTATTTCGATTTTTATCATAATTCTAATGTTTTTCGTTCCTTAAATAAGTAAAAGGAAAAATATAGCAGCATCAGAATGGCTGTCTTTCAGGCCGTTGCATTTTTATGGAGGTTTGCAGTAGTTTTATGCCGTCTGGCCAAGTTGGAAGTTTCACACAAAAATGTGTCCTTCTGCTCTGTTACTGTCAGTGTGTTACAGAGAGACAGCAAACATTAAAGTGACCTTATGTCCAGATCTTCAGCAGCTCATGTTCTGGTTTTAAACATTATTATGACCTTCTTCTCCTTCTCCTTGTTCTCCTACTTCTGCTCCTCCACTTCCTTCTTCTCTACCATCTTCTTCTGCTCTTTCTTCTCCTCCTGTCCTTTGCTATCATCTTCTCCTCCTCCTTTTTCTTCTCCTCGTTCTCATTCTCCTTCTCCTGATTCTCCTTCTTATCCTTCTTTGTTCTCTTTCTACTCTTCCTAATCTCTCTCTTCCTCCTTCTCCTTTTAGTTTTTT